GGCCATGGTGTCCTTGGCAAGTGGCAGTGAGGAGCCAGCCAGGATGTTTTTGGCTGGGAAGGGAGTGTTTCCTCTGGAGCCTGTGACTCAGGGCACTGCAGGGACGGGCTCTGCTGTGGGGCCCTGTGCCCTCCTGGAGGTCCCTTTGGCTGTACCGAGGTGCTGTGGCCCCCCAAGGGACACCTCTGCCCATCATGCCACTGCCCTGTCCCCTTGTCACCCCCATGGAACATGGACAGTGGCCCTGGGGAGCCTGGGGGCTGTTCTGTCCCCCATGGACACAGCACTGCCCCTTGTGCATGTCTGTGTGTGGCAGCCAGCCCTGTCGTGCCTGCTGTCCCCACTGTCCCCAGATGACCCAGAGGGAGGACGTGGGGACAGTGCTCCAAAACAGGCTGGGGAAACTGCCCTGTCCAGCCCTGTCCTGTGGCACCCTGACCCCCAAACCAGGACACCCCTGAACCCGGACACTGTCTGAACCAGGGCACCCTGTAAAACCAGTGAATCCCAAAAATGGGAAAGTTCTGAACTGGGGTGTCTTGTGAACCAAGGCACCTCCAAACCAGGGAACCCTCAAAGTGGGGGACACCCCCCTAAGGCAGGGGACCCCCAGCCCACAGAAGGGACTGTCCCCTCCATTTCCTCCTTCCCAGTGACATTTGGAATTTTTTAACTACTTGGGCAGCGAGCAGGGACCCATATTGGTGGGTGTTCCCATCTGGGGGTGCCCCTGTGGGTGCTGGGTGTTCCCCTTGGGTTAGTGCCCCTGTAGGTGCTGGGTGTCCTAGCTGGGTGGGTGCTGCTGCAGGTGCTGGGTGTCCCCGTGGGTTGTCTCACACATCCCCCTGACTGTCCCCTGTCCCCCCAGGTGTGCTGCTGCAGGAGGACCATCTGGACGCGCTGTCCCTGCTCGGCCTGACGTCCCTGCCCAGCTTCGTGCTGCTGTTCGGGGCGGCCGTGGCGCTGGAGCTGGGCCCCTCGTGGCAGGGGGTGCTGCGCCCCGACGCCGCGCTCTGGGGCTGCGTCCTGCTCAGCTGCCTGGGCTCCGTCCTCTACAACCTGGCCACGTCCTGCCTCCTGTCCCTCACCTCCGCCCTCACGCTGCACCTCCTGGGCAGCCTCACCGTGGTGGGCAACCTGCTGCTGTCCCGCCTGCTGTTCGGCACGCGGCTGGGCGCGCTGGGCTACGCCGGCGTGGCGCTGACGCTGGCGGGGATGGTGCTGTACCACCAGCCCCAGCTCCTGGCCGCGTGCTGGCCCCTGCGGGCGCCGCGGCGGCCCCCGCGCCACGAGTAGGGGTCTGAGGGCGGAGCGGGGGCGAGGGAGGCTCTGAGCGAGGGCAGGGGGCTGCGGAGCTCGGCTCAGCGAGCACGTGTGTGTGCTGAGGGGTGTCGTGCTGGGCACGCGTGTGTGCCAGTGTGTGTGACACTGCACGTGTGTGTGACTGTGCACGTGTCTGCCAGTGTGGGACACGCTGAGCGCATGGGTTTGCCAGTGTGCCCACGTGGGTGCTGAGGTGCACAGTGCTGTGCACATGGGTGTGACTGTGCACACGTGTGTGCCAGTGTGTATGTGCCACTCTGCACGTGTGTGTGCCAGTGTGCCTGGCTCTGTGTGCCCACGGGAGTGCTGAGGTGCACAGTGCTGTGCACGTGTGTGCCCGTGTGTGGCCCTGTGCACGTGTGTTTGCTGGTTTGCACAGCTCTGTGCACACACCTGTGGCTGTTTGCACAGCTCTGTGAGCACGTGTTTGCCGGTGTGCACATGTGTGTGCCAGTGTGTGTGACTCTGCACATGTGTGTGCTGGTGTGCACAGCTCTGGACATGCATGTGCTGATGTACACAGTGCTGTGCACATGTGTGTGCCAGTGTGTGTGGTACTGTGCACATGGGTGTGCTGGCATGCACAGCTCTGTGCACACGTGTGTGCTGAGGTGTGTGGTACCATGTACATAGCGGGTGTCCCACTCTGCATGGTTGCATGTACATGTGGTTTGCATGGCTCTGTGCACACGTGTGCTGGGGTGCACAGTGCTGTGCACACGTGTTGGTGTGCATGGCTCTGTGTACATGTTTGTGGGTTTGCACAGCTCTGTGTGCACACACGTGTGCTGAGGTGCACGCTGCTGTGCACGGTGCTGTGCACACGTGTGTCAGTGTGCATGGCTTTGTGTGCACATGTGACAGTGTGCACAGATCTGCGTGCACACACGTGTGCTGAGGTGCACGGTGCTCTGCACTGCACATCCCTACTGATGTGCAAGGCACTGTGCACGGGTGTGTGCTGGTGTGCACTGCTCTGTGAGCACACGTGTTGATGTGCACACGTGTGTTGTGTGAAGGTTCTGCATGTGCAGGCAGGTCTTGTGCACGTGTGTGTTGGTACAGACTGTACATATGTGAGTGTGTGCACAGCTCTGCATGCGTGTGGCACGCGTGTGCTGCTGTGCACAGCTCGGGGGGGGGGTCAGGCAGGTACAGGTGTGCACACAGGCTCTGTGCAGGTACCTGTGTGTGTGTGTGTGTGTGTGTGTGTGTGTGTGTGTGCAGCTGTGTGCCCCAGCTCCACACGTGCGTCCCCGTGTGCACATGCAGGCTGGGAATGCTCAGGGACATGGCTGTGGATACACGACTCTGGATACAGGACTCGGGGCATCCGGCTGCTGTCCTGCCTGGGGAAACAGAACTGTCTGTGTGTGTTCGTGTGTGTTCATGTGTGTGTGTGTGCACGTGTGTGTGTGTGTGTCACTACTGAGCTCTGCTGGCTGGAGTGGACGCTGGCTGTGTGTACACACTGTTCTCATGGCCAAACAGGATGCCCAGGACAGGGCAGGTGCGTGTCCCCTCCCCTGTCCCCAACCCCACCGTGTTGTGACAATCCCATGGGGCTGCCGGTGGTGCTGCCAGCGTCACCTCTGTCCCAGCTGTGCCCTTCCAGCCCCCACAGCTCCCTGTCCCCGTCCCTCCCAGCGTGCCGTGGCTGGCACAGACTGGTATCCGTGGCAGAGATGGCGAGAGCCCTGCTGAGGGGACGGGCTCCAGACCCGTCCAGACCACCCGCCAGCGCTCCAGGGCGGTGCCAGGCTGAGGCGTGGGACGATGCTGGGCTGTGGCACAGCACACACTCACCATGGCAGAGGGACAGCCCTGTGTGTGCCCTGGCACCGCCGGGGGCCGTGGGGGCCATTGCCACGCTCGTGTCTCCGTGCCGGGGCCGAAGGACCCAGCTCCGATTGCACTTGTCCCAAAATAAAGCTCTATTTTTGTCGTACGCCACCCTCGGCTCGCGGTGATCTCCTGCCCGAGAGGGAAGGAAGGGAGGAACCGCTCAGTGTGGGGATGGGAAACAGGCATGGAAATGCCTCGGGATGTCCCCGTGGCCGCTGTGTCCGAGGGCTCTGTGCTCCAGTGCAGGGACAGCCGTGGTTTGGCAGCCCCAGAGGGTGTGGTGACACGGAGAGGAGTCACTGACCGCATGTCCGGGGCTGGTCCTGCTGGGAGCCTCGCCCTGCCCCGGCGCAGCGCTGGAGCATCCTGCTCCCTGAGTCATGGAATCGTGGAATATCCTGAAGTTGGAAGGGACCCACAAGGATCATCGGATCCAACTCCCGGCTCTGCTCAGGACAGCCCCAACAGTCACACCGTGTGTCGCCAGTCCGGCCCCTCCAGCCCGGTGACTCACCCCGGTGACTCACCCCACCGCATAAGCACGACCCTCTTCCCCTGGAAAATCCCCGCTCGCTCCCGCCCTCTTTCCCAAACAGCGATTTGTTTCCATTATCAGGGCAGGAGTTTGGAGGCCACTTCCAGCAGCACCTGGGGAACGGCTCCTTCCCAGCACACACTGAAGGGAGGGCAGCTCTCCGGGGTGTGCCGGAGTGCCACGGCTGGTGCCACCTTTGGCAGGTGCTCCAGGTGTGGCTGGAGTGGTGCCCATCCCAAAAGGGACACAAAGGGCCCCCAGTTATCAGCCAACAGCCCCTGTGCTGGCCAGGAACCTGTTTACTTTCTGGGCTCACATTCCAGAGGCTTTTCCATAGCAGGGAGGGTTGGAAGCCCTTTTGGTTTTCTGGGAGGAGTGGAGGGACCTGCAAACCAGCCATCTGTGGCATCGCTGGTTCAGGAGCCCTTCCCCAGGGAATTCTTGCCCATCCCAGCTCCTGGACTCATTTGCTGGCACTGGGTCTGCCCAGATCCTGACTCCATCCACAGCTTTGCCTTTTCCACCTTGGATTCCTGCTGATTTCTACTTGGTGCCCTACTGCGCCAGGGAGCTGGGCTGGGCACGGGGGTCCCATGGGCAGCATTCCTGGTGGGACTGGGAGTTGTGCTGCCCATGGAGGGCAGTGGCAGGAGGGCTGGCCAGGTGAGGTGACTTTGGGTATTTCGGGCCATGATCTCAGCCTGGTGTCATCCCTGTGCTCCGGCCAGGCCCCGGGAAGGATTGGGTTTCCCACTGGCAGCAGCTGCCCATGTGCTGAGTCCAGCACTGCTCCGGCCAAGCTGGATGAGGGAAAGGCATCCCAGCCCTGGGGGCTTTGTGGGAGGGGAGCAGATGGGACCCCTTTCTGGAGAGCAGCCCCTGGCACGGGGCAGGACCAGCACAGCAGGGAATGATGGGCACAGTCCTCACGTGGGCATGGGGAGGGGGGACCCTCCTGAGGAGGGGTGACAGCTCTGAGTGGTGACAGCAGGAATGGTGGCTTGGAGGTGCTGGCTGGCAAAGGATCATGGAATTATGGAATCCCAGGATGGTTTG